ATGAGGTCTTTATGTAAATCTCTGTGCCTCACTCTAGTTATTAGAGTATGAGGTCTTTATGTAAATCTCTGTGCCTCACTCTAGTTATTAGAGTACATCTCTAGAATTGCTGGGCTAAAGGGAAGGATGAGATGATTTTTAAGCCACATTGTTTAGACACATTTCCAAGTTGCCTTCGTGAATACTATAGGTATTTATGATGACAAAAGATGAGGGGAAAAGCCCTTTTAAATTCTGTACTATTCTTATTTATATTCCCACTTGCAGCACATAGGATTGTCCATTTATCTGCACCCTTGCCAACGATCAGTATTGCGATTATATAAAAAATGTTCATCCGCTAGGGGGACATGAACATTTCTGAGTACCTCTGATTTTCTGAAGGCAGTCAAATCACACCAGATGGACCTGTACTGATATAGCAAGGTTTCTGAGATAAACTGTTAATTGCAAAACAACACCTAAGATAGAACTAGTTTCTGTGGAAAAGAGCAGATACAAGGAAAAAAAACCTTGTCAAGTGAAACTTTTACTTCTAAGACTATTTTTGTAATGGTGGAAGTTCTTATCAGCCCAAGTTACTGTGTGATGCTTTCATTAGGTGACTGACATTGGCAGAAGGTGCTGGGGCAGGGGGGGGGGGGCGCCCAGTAAGTGCTGAGGGGGCATGCACGACGTGTGTGTGTGTGTGTGTGTGAGAGAGAGAGACAGAGAGACAGAGAGAGACAGAGAGGGAGGACAGGCTGCCAGTGTGGAGGGCTGGCCCCACATCTCCCCACAACACCTAGCTCAGAAGAGACAAGAATACATCAGGGGCACTCCAAGAACGCTCTGCCCCTCCCTGGGCCTGTTACCCCATCTGTAAAATAAAGGCAGGGCCAGATCCCACCTAAGGCAATCCCCCCAGGCTCCAACAGAGGGTGTGCTCCGACTACTTTTCTTGGCTGCCTTGAGAGAAGTTGCCCTAGTGCTTTGTCTTCTCAGCAAAAAACACCACAACAAAAAACAACTCAAGTCCCAGAAGGGGTTCCTTCTGCAGGTCACAGAAGTTTTACTTCTGCACTCTCCCTCTTGGGAAATGGCTCAAAGCTTCAGAACAGGGGACTGACCTGCTGCAGTAACAGGAATAACATTTCTGACAATTCTAACAGTAATAATAAAGATGACAGTTACCAAGTCATTCTAGGCTTTCTGGTCCTCACTTACTACACTGCCACAATAGCCCTCTCAGGTCAGTGAGGTGAGTTTACAACCATGACTCAGAAAGGTCTTGGGCGGACCCCATCCGGCTCCTAGGCCCAGGCTCATCCTCCACGTTACATCTGCTGCTGAGGGCAGGGAACAGACCCTGGGCAGGCCACACCATCTCCCCCAGCCCTGTCTCAGCTCTCTTCCAACTACAATGTCGGTTCCATGAGAACAGGGATTTCACCTTGCCAGACCAAAAGGCCTAATCCGAGCAGCTGAGCCAACATGCTCTGGCTGCTCCCAGGGCCTGGCAAAGACTATGTGATCAATGAATATTCCTCAAATTTCTGTCTACCTATCCTCCCTCCATCTCTCTTTCCCTATCTGTGGGGATGATAAAGTGACTCGTTAGGACTGCTGGGAAAGGACTCTGTCTGCTGTAGACTGCTGTCACGTTCTTGTCTGCTATCTCTAGGATCTGACACTGTGGGATGGAGTTACAAGCTTCACCTAAAAGGCCAGCTTCCCGCTGGAATAGACACCCTGGGGCCTTGGCTCCTGCCCTTGCCTTACAAGCTGCCCTGTGCAGGGAGCTGACCCTCCTGGCTCAGAGAGGGAAGTGTGCCAAGCGCAAAGCCCAAACCTAGAAAACACCAATGCAGCCAACGTGTTCCAGCTGCCTCATCCTCTTGGGGAAGAGGGATTTCAAAGCGATTTTAGGGTGTAGCCGGGGACCCCCTGAGTCTCAGCACAAGCACACAATTTCACTTTTCCTCAACATTTGAATTCTTGCTCTCTGTTCTTTAAAGTCAACAGCAATGGGGAAATGGATCTTTAGAGTTGGAAACTGCGTCAGAAAGTGGTCATTATCAGACTGCTAATGATAGTGTAAACTGCAGGGAGCCCGATTTGGGGCTCAATCCTAGAACCCTGGGATCGTCAGTGACCTGAGCCAAAGGCAGACGCTTAACCGACTGAGCCACCCAAGGCACCCCTCATAATAACTGATTCTAAGAGAAGAGTCCAAGTTGTACGTGAAGATAAATGTACAAAGATATTCATTGTGGTATTATTTATAATAGTCAAAAACTAAGACACCAAAATGAGCTCGTATATGGACGACAGAGAAATATATACATATCTCACCAATTTATAGCCGAATGAAATATACTTCAGGCCTTAAAATGTTTGTGAATTTTTGAGAGAGAGAACACAGGCAGGGGAAGGGGCTGAGGGAGAGGGATAATCTTAAGCAGGCTCCCCGCTGCTGAGTGTGGAGCCTGACTCTCGGGGCTCGATCCTGAGAGATCATGACCTGAGCCAAAATCAAGAGTCAGACGCTTAACTGACTGAGCCACCTGGGTGCCCCATGTTTGTGAATATTTTTAAAAGACACAGGAAAATGTTCACAATTGTTAAATGAAAAAAATCTCAATGATATCACATATTTAAATTACGATTTGAATTTTTTTTGTATTCTTCATAGTGAAAACATTCATTTTATTTTTAAATTATTTCATTTTTGAATATGTGTGCATGTATATAAAACTCAAAAAGGACATGCACCAAAAAGAATAAAATCCTTAGGAATAACCAAGGAAGTGAAAGACCTGTACTCTGAAAATTATAAAATACTGATGAAAGAAACTGAAGATGACACAAATGGAAAGATATTCCATGATCATGGATTGGAAGAATTAATATTATTAAAATGTCCACGCTACCAAAGCAATCTATAGATTCAATGTAATGCCTACCAAAATACCAACAGCATTTTTCACAGAACTGTAAGAAATAATACTAAAATTTATATGGAACCAACAAAAGACCCCAAATAGCCAAAGCAATCTTGAGAAAGAAGAACAAAGTGGGAGGTATCACATTTCAAGATAGACGACAAAGTTGTTCTATCAAAACAGTATGCTACTGGCACAAAAACAGACACACAGATCAACGGAACAGAATAGAGAACCCAGAAATAAACCCATGCTTATATGGTCAATTAATCTATGATAAAGGAGGCAAGAATATACAATGGGGAAAAGACAGTCTCTTGATAAATTGTGCTGAGAAAACTGGGCTACTTTCTTACACAATATACCAAAATAAACTCAAAATGGATTAAAGACCTAAATGTGTGACCTAAAACCATGAAACTCCTAGAAGAAAGCAGGCAGTAATCTCTTTGACGTTGGCCATAAGTGACATTTTTCTAGGTGTGTCTCTTAAGGCAAGTGAAACAAAAACAAAAACTATTGGGACTACATCAAAATAAAATCTTTTGCACAGAGAAGGAAACCA